GATGGGGAGAGAATCGGAAGGGTAAGAGTGAGACAACTCCTGGGTTGAGATAAAGACAGTTTAATAGAACAGAAAAGGAAGGGAAAATAACAATAATAACAATAACAACAACAACAATAATAATGATAGAATATACAAAATGAGTGATGCACAATGCAATTGCTCACCACCTGCCGAACAATACCCAAAAACAGTGATCGCTACTTCCTGGGTTACACCTCCCATTCATATACTGAGCATGACGTCATATAGTATGGAATACCCTGTTGGCCAGCTAGGCCAGCTGTCCCGACTATGCTCCCTCCCAGCCTCTTGTGCTCTTGGCAGAGCATGGGAAGCTGAAAAATCCTTGACTTGGGGGGTACTTAGCAACAACTAAAAACATCAGTGTGTTATCAACATTCTTCTCATACTAAATCCAAAACACAGCACTAGGAAGAAATTTAACTCTATCCCAGCCGAAACCAGGACAATAGCATTTCCTTGTATTTGTGAGCTCTCTCATTTTTTTGTATTAAGCAAGCAGAAGGAAAATAGCGATTCAGCCCTTTTCCAGCCATTTTTACCCCCACACTTTCACAGTTAACTCATGCTCGCTTTTTTGCACTTTTTTTTGCTGGCTTTTTTTTTGTTCCTTGGGGATGGTATCACCTCTATTTTAGTTTTCCGGTAGATCAATTCAAAGGTAGCGAGAAAACCAGTGCTATTTTTTTAATTTACATCAGAGTTAAGCGAGCCTAACATGTCGATAGTTTCTGCAGTCGTTTTCTGTTTTGTCTAGGTACAGTTTAGCATGGGTGTGAGTTTTCATACCCTAAGTCTGAAAAACTTCAGCACTTAGTTTAGTGTTGAAACTAAGCACTAAAACCCCAGCAGATCTGTACCAGGCACTTTAAAAACACCACCCTGACTTTTAAAGGATGTCGCATCCATTAAATACTTTGCATTAAATACATTAAAATCGTTATCTACGCCTTCATTGATCTTTCGCTCTCTACAGATATCGCCTGGAGAAGGCTCAACGTAAGCGTGAAACAGAGCTGCAGGCATCTCCCAAGCAAGGAGGGTGCTGCCAGCCTGGGGGTGACATGGGGGGGACAGCCGGGGAGGACAGCCCACCTGCGGGTGTCCGGGTGGGCGGCGTCGCTGCTGAAGAGGTAGTCGGCTTCCCGCCGGTTGGCAAGTGCCCCGCCGCCGGCCGCTGCAGGGGGAAGAGGAGGTGAGGAGGAAGGTGGACACCCCAATGTGTCCCTACCTCAGAGTGGCCTGGGATGGGGACAGCTGCCTGGGCTGGTTGTGGGGCTGCAGGGCCGGGCCCCAAAGTGGGCGCTGTGATGGGCTCCCATGGCGATGGGTCTCCCACTACCCCATTGAGGGCTCCTC